AGCACATGTAGGGGTAAAGTCAGAAAAGCTAAAGCACAGAATGAACTCAGTCTTGCTAGAGAGGTTTAGAACAACAAAAAGGGCTTCTTTGGGTATTTCTATAGCAAAAGGAAGAGGAAGGAAATGGTAGGGCCACTGCGCAGAGAAAATGGCAGATTGCTAACAGGGGATAGAGAAAAGGCATAACTATTCAACATCTTCTTTGCTTCAGTCTTACAAAAGGAAAAAGGGCGTTCAACCTGAAGAAAATGGAGTAGAGGACACAATGGGGAAATGCAGCACAGAATAAGTAAAGAGGAAGTACAGGAATACCTGGTTAGCCTAAATGAATTTAAGTCTCCAGGGCCAGATGAACTACATCCAAGGATATTAAAAGGACAAATGCGATCTCAGAGCCATTGGCAATAATATTTGAGAACTCCTGGAGAACAGGAGAAGTCCCAGCAGACTGGAGGAAGGCAAATGTTGTCCCCATCTTCAAAAAGGGGAAAATGAGGATCTAGTCTGACATCAATACCAGGAAAGATGCTAGAACCGTTCATTAAACAGAGTGCCTGTGAACATTTAGAATGGGATGCCATGATCACAAAAAGTCAACATGAGTTTCAGAGAAATAAGTCATGCCAGACTAATCTGATTTCTGTTTTTGATAAAATTACCAGCTTGACAGATGAAGGGAATGTGGTGGACATAGCATATATTGATTTAAGTAAAGCTTTTGACAAGGTCCTCCATGATATTCTTGTAAACAAGATAGTAAAATGTGGGCTAGACAATACAACTGTTAGGTGGATTAATAACTGGTTGACTGACCAAACCCAAAGGGTGCTCAACAATGGCTCCTATTTATTCTGGAAAGAAGTGACCAGTGGGGTGCCACGGGGTTCTGTCCTGGGCCCAGTGCTATTCAACATCTTTTATCAATGATTTGGATGAAAGAATAGGGAGCATACTTATCAAATTTGCAGATGACACCAAATTAGGAGGAGTAGCTAATACCCCAGAAGACAGGATGAAAATTCAAAATGACCTGAATAGATTAGAAAGCTGGGCCAAAGCTAACAAAATAAATTTCAACACAGAAAAAATGTAAGGTACTGCACTTAGAGCAGAAAAATGAAATGCATAGATATAGGATGGGGGACACCTGGCTGAATGAGATTACGTGTGAAAGGGATCTAGGAGTCCTAGTAGACCACAAGTTGAATATGAGTCAATAGTGCGATGTGGTAGCTAAAAAGGCCAATATGATTTTAGGGTGCATCAATAGAAGTATAGTAT